CATCGATCTTTTAGTGAATGTGATTTGCATTTTTGTGACTGAGAGAGAGAGTTAGCACTGTAAAGGATGCAGGGTAATTTGATTTCCTCTTTAGAATAGTTCAAGCACCCTTGCCCATCAAGAAGTCTCCTTTGTGGATCAAACCTTTATTTTTCCACTGTTGGACAAACTCTGGCCTGTGATAGGTGCTATAGGGATATGTGTGCTCAGTTTTTTTCCTTTTCTGGCTTTTTGTCTGTCCCATACCAAAAGTTAATAAGACAATGACACATTAAGACACATTAAATCTTCATTCAAACAGTGCCTACAAATAAAGGTGATATACTTTAACAAATAACACATAAAATGGACAAGGTATATTTATTCTCATCATTTAGGTTAACAAAAGTGCAGATTTGTAATGTGGAAATAGTAAGTACACCACAACTTTAAATTTAAATCCATGATTTTTGAATTTAGTGTTCTATATTAGGTGCCAATAATTAGAACCTTCTCAGTGAGAATGCAGGTGGAGCCTCATTTAAAGGATAAGTTCACCTTTAAAAATAAAAAAAAAAAATAAATAAATGCATAATTTTTGCAGGTAAAAAATGTGCATTTACTTTTCTTTTTTTTTTTGTAGGAGCCTGGAAAGTATTGCACCAGCAATCCACAGATCGTTGGTGCCATGCATTATTCCTGCAGACTGTCAGTATAAACTGTCTGCCCTTACATCTTATGGGCAGGCAGTATCACACTGGCAAGAAGAATAAATAAACTACCCGAGCACTTACATCTGCAAAGGATGTTGGTACTTGTAGTTGATTAATTCACAAAACTTTAGGAATGAATGAGGAGGCCCTGTGGGCGGAGCCCTGCACAGCCGCATTCTTTTAAAAAAATGACAGCTGGTATGGGGAACTTCTCCCCATACTGCTGTCACACAGAGGGCTCGGATCGCTGAGTCGCTGCAGGAGCAGGAACATGTTTCATATTCCCCCCTAAAAATGGGTGGAACATGTAACATGTTCCCAAAGATGAACTTAGCCTTTAAACCTCAGATAACTCAAAATCAAAAGAGCTCTGTAAGGCCTTCAGAAAGGAGGTTTTGGATGCCTATGATAGTGATTTAGAATGATTGCCAAAATATTTGAAACAAACATTTTACTATAAAAAAAAGCATTCTACAAGTGGCATAGATTTCAAACGTCCAGATCTTACCAGCACAGCAAGACATGCAATGCTAAAAGAAGTCTCAAGAATCCCAACATTTATCATGTGACCTGCACAGTGCAGGTAACTCTTGCAAAGTGCATGCACGTACAGTTAGCAATGATTGTGTCATTGTATCCTGCATAGAAGGTATGCCAGGAAAGCATTTCCTGTGTAAAAAAAACAATTGAACAAGACTCCTGCCTATCAACAAACAGGCAAAGATCAGGCTGTGGACACCAATTAATCAAATATACAGTTATTTGGCCACAGTAGCAGTAGACTTATTTGGCACAAACCAAAAACAGCATTTCAGAAGACCCTTATACTAACTGTGAAACATGGTGGTGGAAATATTATGGTTTGGGGTTACATTGTGCCTTCAGGCCCTATGCAGAATGCAGTTATCAATTCAACTATTAATTCTGCATCATATCAAACTGTAGTTGATGTGAATTTGAGGCCATCTGTCCGTAAGCTGCATTTGAACCAGCAATGGATCTTTTAACACAATACTGTTCCAAAGCACACCAACTAATTCACCAAGCAATGACTCAGAAAGAAGAAATGAAGGGTTTTCGACTGGCCTTGTCAGAGCTCTGATTTGAATCCTGTTGTAGTGTTGTGGGGGATTTGGAATGTGCAGTCCATGCAAAGAAACCCACAAATATCTCACAGCTAAAGTAAGTCGGCGAAGAGAAGTGGTCAAAAATTTCACCAAGTCAATGTCAAAGAATGGTGGGCAGTTATACAAAATGAAGAACAGCAAACTACAAGAAGTCATATCTGCTAAATTAGGCAATACCAGTTTCTTTAGGCCAAGGGTGTGCTTACTACTTCCACAGAACACCACTGCATCCGATATTTTTTGCTCAATAGATAATTAAAAAGGGATATTTTCCTTGTGCTTTTATCTTTACCTTATCTTTAGACATTACTTAAGTAAATATCTAATCAAATATACTACTGTGCAAAAGTTTTTAGGTAGGTGTGAAAAAATGCTGTAAATTAAGAATGCTTTCAGAAATAAAAGTGTTCATAGTTACCAAATGGAAAGTAAGAGAAAAGAAGAGAAATCCAAATCAAATCAATATTTGGTATGACCACCCTTTGCCTTCAAAACATCATCAATTCTTCTAACAAACTGCCTCCTGCTGTCATTTTTCTGCACCCCAGTTCCTATGTTTCCTTGCATAGTTGAACCTTGTTTTCACGTCATAGGTATGGCTTTTTGGCTGCAATTTTTCCATGAAGACCATTTATGGCCAGACTTCTCTGGACAGATGAGGTGTACTTGGGTCCTAGTGGTTTCCGCCAGTTCTGTGCTGATGGCACTGCTGGACATCTTCCAAAGGGAAGTAAGCATAATATGTCTTTCATCTGTTGCATTAAGTGTCCTTGACCAACCACTGCATCTATGGTTCTCAACCTTGCTGGATCAGTGCTGAGAAATACAGGCAGATACTTATCCATTATGCCATACCATCAGGGAGGCGTGTGATTGGCCCCAAATGTATTCTGCTGCCGGACAAGGACCCCAAACATACAGCCAATGTCGTAAAAATCTTCAGTATATATAAGAGCAAGGAGTCCTGAAAGTGATGGTTTGGCTCCCACAGAGCCCTGATCTCAACCTCATAGATTCTGTCTGGGATTACACGAAGAGACAAATAAGATCTGAGGCAGCCTACATCCACAGATCTGTGGTTAGTTCTCCAAGATGTTTGGAATAACCTACCTTCTGAATTCCTGTAAAAACTGCATGCAAGTCTACCTAAAATAATTGATGCTGTTTTGAAGGCAAAGGGCGGTCATACCAAATATTGATTTGATTTAAATTTTTCGTCTGTTCACTCACTTTGCATTTTTTAAAGTGATTAAAATAAACAATTAAAATATTTCTGAAAGCATCCTTACTTTACAGCATTTCTTCACACCTGCCTGAAACCTTTTGCACAGTACTGTCTGTTAAAGAAAGTCAACAATTTCCATGTGGCTTACTTACGGTTTTCACATGACTGTATGTGTGTTGTAGTGCCATGCAATCCTACTACAGAGATTTTATATTACACAATGTCATTTGAATGTTTTTGTCAAGTTCCCTATTAGAAGAGGGGGATGAGGGAAAGGGATGTTGCACTGGAGTGGGGGAATAAGCCAATGCCTATGCAAATATCCCCTTTCAGAGAGCTTGTATTTACATAGTATTTTTGCTGGTCTGCTGGCAATCTGTGTGGTGAAAGGTGTACAACTATAGTATGGGAATGAACGTTAATATAGTGCCTTCTATTAAACCTGACCTCATTTTTTGGTTCACATCTGCATGTTCACTTTAAGGTTTAAAGTTTATGTATATCCGACAGTTTTATCTGTTAGCTTTGGTTACATTAAGAAGAGATCACAGCCAAATTTGGTTATTTTTTTGCTGTCTGTGTCCTCCTAGGAAGATTTCCCTTCACTTCCTACCCTACCCTAGAGACTCAACAGAAAATAAGTAGACATATCACCAAAGTGAAAAGAATTTTTTGTCTTATCTCTGGAACATTTGTCCCCATTGGTTGAATAATCCTCAAATCTTGTTCTTTTGATAACTCTTTGGAATACTCTTTACCTACTGTCTTGGTGACAGTGGCTACCATGGCAAACAGAGGGGTGAACCTCCCGAGTGGTGACACAGAGAGCAATGAAACCTTGAAAAAGGGTTATCCGTTCTAATTTGGATCCAAAACTAAAATATAACGTTTTTGCCTTTTAAATAAATTTTAATAAATCAGGGAAGTGTGTATGTTTGAGAGAAGAAAAGTAAAAACAACTGCTTGGCAGGAGTCAGTAGAGTAATTTTTACCTTTTGAGACATCTTCAGGCATTTTACTTAATGGACAGCCTCAAGTATTTAATTCATTATTATTTTACACAAAATGTTAAGACCACTAAGCTACAGTGACATATAAACATAAGAAACAGCCACTGCACCAGAAAAACAAAGAATATGGAATCAATATTGTCATTTGTTTCCACATGTCCCAGGCAAACAAGTTCTGCTCTGTGAGAGGTCTGTCTTTTTCTACCAATCATTAAAGGACTTTTACATGATCCATAAACCTGTGACTGTAGTCTGTATGTCATTAAAGTAGATGTAATGGAAAATACTGCTTGAACAAGCATGTTTGTGCCAAAGCAGTCACCATAAATTGGCAGTACATAAGCCCTGCATGTTAAACATATGTTGCAGTATATCTCAGGAACCCTCAAACCTGGGGTGCACCCCATATCATTGCTAACTTTGCTGAAAGTTGGAGCTCGGGCTCCCTGAATCCCACAGTGGTGTACACTTACCCTTCAATAGGTTTTCGAGTGATGTGGGAGAAGGAGGTCTTCACAGCAAAGTAGTTGTATGTCGTTTACCCTCTGGGTTAGGGGACTCCCAAGTGTTCTTTGTACGCTGAAGTCTGACAGAGAGTATGTACTGCTACTTTATGTTTCCTGCTGCAGTTGTGCTCAATTATAAAGTATTTTCTAATGAAGGCCTTGTTCACACTTACTCAAAATGTTATTGATGAACAAATGCACCTATAGTATTAATGAGCATTGTTCAAACACGTTGAAGACACATTAAAAACTCTCCCCAAGTGGCCTAAGCATGTTTGACGTGTGTTAAATGCACATTAAAAGTGCACCCCAGATGCCTAGATTTTTTTTTTGGTGAACAAGGCCTTACAAGCCACAAACACGGCTTGAATGTAAGGCATTGACCCTTTACTAAAACACCAAAAAATGTAATACATCATGTAAATATCTCAGTTTCTTTTCTATGATATTCCATGACTAAGATTTAGTTTCTCACATAATTTTTCTGCTACAGCCAGCTTCATTCTACACTTTTCTAGTGCTTTTATCAGGGCAGACACATTTGCATTCTCTCTCTTCTTTTGCTTCCATTCCCGCAGACATTGCCTTATTTGTTCCCTCAGGTTGTAAGGGTTTGCATAAACAACGTGTTCCATTGTGCTATCGGTAACCCCAAGAGTGCGCATCAGCATCTTCCAGTCCTTTCCCACATTTTCACATATTATGTCAAATGCCTGGCCAAGCTGGTCTGGGGAACAAGGAAAAAGGAGATTTGTTAGATGAAAATATCATGCTTACAAATTAGTGTAACCTATATAAGTGCTAAACAAGGCATTTTGTAATGGAAGATGTCTGTACAGAGCTAGAATGAAATTACATGCATCCATTGCCGCAGCCGATATTAACTTAATTTGCTGAGACTATCCATTTTGCAAGTTTAGTTTTCTGTTCACATTTTGACAGCAGATTGTGGCTGACCTGTACTGAATCAGTGGGTTGCCTGTTTACATTATGATGCAGATGATGCCTTTTCATATTACAACATTAATTAGATGGTAATATTAAAGGCAAACTCTCCATGGACACAATAACATAAACACCAGTTTCTTTCGCATATAGACGGGTACAAATCTACACTAAAGTTTGTTAAAATCCTTGCAATATATACAATTCTGCTGGAGGAATCTATTTTTCAAGAAAATCTGAGTTTTAATTTAAAGTGATCCTGTCACTGTTATACTAAAACTTATTTTTGCACTGATGTAGCAGCCACAGGGAAGAACCAATGCTTCTCACGGGGGACATACTATCCAACACACATGGAAATGTTGCATATTAGTGATGTCTGGAGCTCAGCCACAGAGCAAAGATTTTAACACTCCACATCCTGGAAAGGTAAGTATCACTTATCTTCTTTTACAGGGTAACACCATTTCAGTTTTGTGTAGTAATAACATAAAGCACCAGTCTAAAAAATGACTTCTAATGAAGAATATCCCATGTATCCTATTCTTCTTTTACAGGGTGATACTATTTTGGTTTTGTGTAGTAATAACATAAAGCACCAGTTGAATAATTTACCTGTAATGACAAGGATCCTAATTCCTGCTGACTGCTTGTTACTGTACAAATCACCTTCCAGTGCTGCAGGGGTTCTTTGAATGGGCAAGGAGAGATCCTGTCATTCATCTGCCCATCCTTTCCTCTCGGCCATTCACAGTAAGCCTTTTGTTGATCGATGAGGGGAGAAGACAGGGAAGGCAAACAATGAGATCATTCCCTGTTGCAGCTGCTACCTCTCATTCCCACAGTACCAGTAGCTCACCACTGTGTAGTATCCAGCTTCATTGAAAGGAGGATTTGTACACTAACCAGCAGTCAGCAGGACATTGGATACTCTTCATTAGAGGTAAAACATTGGACTGGTGCTGTACTACTTAAACAATATTTACTGAAGTTCAGCATTAAAAAAGAAAATTAACTATAATTTTCTATTTTAGGGGATTTTATTCTGCACATTTAGGCTTACCTAAAAGACTGATCCACCCCCAAACCTGTCTGTATTTCTGGATATACTCAGGAGTGTAGAATCACCCACTGAATTCTTTTAGATTTCCTAAGTTTGCCACCACATCAAGAAATGTTTATCTTTTTGCTGCAGCAGTCTCATTCTTTCTTTGGTAATCTGTATAAGCAGTTGTATAACTTTCATGGGTTATAGGAACTCTCGGGCTCACCAGAATGGATCATACTTGTTTTGTCCCCTTCAATATAATACATTAGCTAACTCAATATTTCTGTACTACTTAGACAAGATATTGTCACACTTCTCAAATTACATGATCTGTCATCCAAGCCCTGCAGCCAAAAATGTACACCTCTGATGTACAGATTTTTGGAGAAATAGTATTTGTCAGCATAAAGGGTTCCTTCACATGGGTGCACTCTGTTCAAAAGACAGTCTTTGCCCTACCGAACAGGAGCAGTACAGGATGGATGTCACTTTTTGTGACCTCCATGCCTATTCAGCATTTTGGCAACATATAGTGGTGGACCTGTGCTGAATCAGTGGGCTGCTAGATTGAAATGGACTCCATGATGTTTAGGCCTAGACCACGACAGGTGGACAGGTAAGCGGATTTAAATGGGCACAAGTCCATTTACATCTGCCTGCCCATAGACCTGCATGGAGATTCCGATCAGGTCTGCCTGAAAAACTAACAGCAAACAAATGAAAATGTCAAATTCATATTGCGCATTTGGTGTGGAAGACCAGAGACTGTTCTCCTATGTGGGTATTAGAGAATCATTCAACGGATAAACAAGGCCTTGCTTCTCACTTAGACGACTAGGGTAGTCCAGAGCACCCTAGCTCTGAGGAAGAGGGTTACCCTTGAAATGCATCAACCTTTTTTTGGTTAATGGAGGATACCTATCTGGCGTCGGAGGGTCCACTGGGTCTTATTCACCATTGTACTGTCACTTGACATGCAAGCTTTTCTATACTATTTGTGAGCATAACTTTTATCAGCATTTTAATAAACTTTCCTTGGGATAGTGCACTAGGCTGGTGTACTCTGTTTGTCTTTCTACAGCTCTGCCTGACAAAATGACAGGTAGACTTAATCAGAAAGCCCACATTTAGGGGCCTAACTCAGAAGAATCACAATTAAAGCTAAATAAATTAAAAACACTAGCAAATATTGAGCCTGCTCCTTCCATGGATACCCAGCTAACATAGGGGTGCTTTTACAGGCTGAAAAAAACCCACTCATCACCTGCATAAGTGGCTTTTTTTTTAAAGCTCTGTGTACATGAGGCATAAAGTAAAATATGACCATCCAAAATACACACTGAAGCGATTTGGGAAGAACCAAAGAGAATAACAAGTCATCAAATCCAGTTTGCTTTTCTTCACTAACAACATTTTTACCTTCCTCTGGTTCTTCTTCTATAGACGTTTCTTCTCTTGAAAGCGACGGCTCATGGAATTCTTTCACTTCTTTTGCGAGATCATGTCTGTGTGCATGCTGTAAAAGCTCAGTCAGGAAATTCAGGTTGTCTTTTGAGATCTCTGTCAGCTCCATAAGTTTTATGAATAGATCTGTCGGACTTTTAATGGTCTCCATTTTCTTTCTAGGTATCTTATCCTGGCAAAGAAACTTCATGCTATTTAGATCTGTATCACTCAGTTTTCCGGCTATTCTTAGCAGCATGACATTGAAGTCATCCATATCTGCGTGCTGTTTCACGATCAATATACGACTGTTTCAGGTAACTGTTGATGAATATTGGCCTAGGTCGCCTTGATCTGGAAAATAAATTGAAAGAAATTGCCTTTATATCTATCTCACTTTCATTTTACTCAGCTAGCGTTTCCCCCATACTTTCACATTGTGAAAGTTTACAGAAATAAAGTAGCTACTTTTTTAAGCAAAAAAAATGTATAAAGGAGTGATCAAAACAACAAACCTCTTAATCCTTGTTTGTTGGAAAGATCTGTTAGTGTTCACCGTGAAGTTGTACACACTCACTAAAACCAGGAAGTTAGTACGACATGTAAACTGAGCATGTCAACTCCCAACTTCCCCCTCCCTCTCAGTGTTTCAAACCTTCTTCAGCCTGTAATATCCAACACTGAAAAGGCATCATTCAAGATCTTGGCAATAAGAATCACAATTGTGTACAATAGTTAATATTCGTGAAAGATCTATAGTGAACTTATTGTAACATTAGAGCCACATTAATTAAATGATATTTAAAAAAAAAAAAAAAACTCCATTATTGCCACATAGTAAAATAAGAGGGATTGTCATAGGATAGTCACAGCTTGCTTTCACTTTCAGTTACTGTTTGCCCTGATTGATGACAGGAATCTCAGTTTTAATGCTACATCACTGTAATTTTTACTGCAATATGCATTAGCCTGCATTCACACATCAGACCAGGAGTGTATTCCTGGTGATTTTTTTGTATTTTTTTAAAAGTAGAGCTATAGGCAAAACTTTTTTTTCATTTTGGATAGTGCAAGGAAGGGTCATAACCCCTGTAAGATTTTTTTTTTTTTTGCTTTCTGTATCCCATTGCGGAGATTTCACTTCCTGTCCCACAGCCAGACAGGAAGTGAGAGGAAATCCCTGCAAATGAAGTGAATTCCTTGGGGACCCCAGGTCACCAGAAGTAATGCCTCCATTGTGTGGAAAGCACAGTGGCTAAATGGTTAGCAGTTACGTCTGGCAGTGCTAGGGTCCTTGGTTCGAATCTCAGCCACGGTACCTCCTGCCTGGAGTTTGCATGTTCTCCCTGTGCCTGCGTGGGTTTCCTCTGGGTACTCCAGTTTCCTTCCACACTCCAAAGACATGCTGGTAGGTTAATTGGCTCCTGTCTAAATTGGCCCTAGTATGTGTATGTATGAATGTGAGTTAGGGACCTTAGATTGTACTCCCCTTGAGGGTTAGGGACTGATGTGAATGTACAATATACATGTAAAGCGCTGCGTAAATTGCCAGTGCTACATACAGTATTTCACAGAAGTGATTACACCCCTCACATTTTTGTAAATATTTTATTCTATCTTTTCATGTGACAACACTGAAGAAATGACACTTTGCTACAATGTGACGTAGTGAGTGTACAGCTTGTATAACAGTGTAAATTTTCTGTGCCCTCCAAATAACTCAACACACAGCCATTAATGTCTAAACCGCTGGCAACAAAAGTGAGTACACCCCTAAGTGAAAATGTCCAAATTGGGCCCAATTAGCTAGTTTCCCTCCCCTGTGTCATGTGACTCATTAGTGTTACAAGGTCTCAGGTGTGAATGGGGAGCAGATGTGTTAAATTTGGTATTATCGCTCTCTCTCTCATACTGGTCACTGGAAGTTCAACATGGCACCTCATGGCAAAGAACTCTCTGAGGATCTGAAAAAAAGAATTGTTGCTCTACATAAAGATGGCCTATGCCAGTGGTGGGTAACCTTTTTTTTCAACTGAGCCAAATCTCGCCAAAACCACGATTGAAATTTATTTTGAGAGCCACATTTTTAAAACTGAAAATACATAGGATGGTACACTGTTTTTAGTTTCAATAAGTTTTTTTATAGTAATTCATCCCCCATAGTAATTCATGCCCCATAGTAATTCATCCCCCATATAGTAATTCATCCCCCATATAGTAATTCATCCCCCATAGTAATTCATCCCCCCTATAGTAATTAATCCCCCATATAGTAATTCATCCCCCATAGTAATTCATCCCCCATAGTAATTCATCCCCCCTATAGTAATTCATCCCCCCTATAGTAATTCATCCCCCATATTAATTCATCCCTCATATAGTAGTAGTAAGTAGCAAGTAGTAAGCCAAGTCCCCCCTGTGTCAATTCACTTACCTTTGCTCCGCGCGTTCTTCTTGCCGTGTTCCCGCGCCGTTCCGGTCTTCAGGGCGGACTGTGAGAGGAGCCTAGCTCCTCTCACGTTCGTCACGCTGCCCCGCCTACACACATCCTGACAGCCAATTACTGGCTATCAGGATGTGAGTGGCAGCGAGACTGGCCAATCATTGCATTTGAGCGCGCTGCCCGGGCTGTTTTTTGTTTGGATCACGCTCCGCGGGCCGGATTAAAAGGGTCCGCCGGGCCGCAGTTTGCCCATTGCTGGGCTAGCTGCAGAGTCCTGACTTTTGGGGAGGCCGCCCGAGAGGAGAGAGGGGAGCGGGCGCCCGGCACACAGAAGAGCCGCATTAAAGTGTGTAAAGAGCCGCATGTGGCTCGCGAGCCGCGGCTTGCCGACCACTGGCCTATGCTATAAGAAAATTGCTAAGACCCTGAAACTGAGCTGCAGCATGGTGGCCAAGACCATACAGCTGTTTAACAGAACAGGTTCCACTCAGAACAGGCCTTGCCATGGTCGACCAAAGAGGTTGAGTGCATGTGCTCAGTGTCATATCCAGAGGTTGTCTTTGGGAAATAGACGTATGAGTGCTGCCAGCATTGCTGCAGAGGTTGAAGGGGTGGGGGGTCAACCTATCAGTGCTCAGACCATACACCGCACACTGCATCAAATTGGTCTTGATGGCTGTTGTCCCAGAAGGAAGCCTCTTCTAAAGATGATGCACAAGAAAGCCCGAAAACAGTTTGCTGAAGACAAGCAGAATAAGGACATGGATTACTGGAACCATGTCCTGTGGTCTGATGAGACCAAGATAAACTTATTTGGTTCAGATGTTGTCAAGCGTGTGTGGCGGCAACCAGGTGAGGAGTACAAAGACAAGTGTGTCTTGCCTACAGTCAAGCATGGTGGTGGGAGTGTCATGGTCTGGGGCTGCATGAGTGCTGCCAGCACTGGGGAGCTACAGTTCATTGAGGGAACCATGAATGCCAACATGTACTTTGACATACTGAAGCATAGCAGGATCCCCTCCCTTCGGAGACTGGGCCGCAGGGCAGTATTCCAACATAACAACCCCAAACACACCTCCAAGACGACCAATGCCTTTCTAAAGAAGCTGAGGGTAAAGGTGATGGACTGGCCAAGCATGTCTCCAGACCTAAACCCTATTGAGCATCTGTGGAGCATCCTCAAACAGAAGGTGGAGGAGCGCAAGGTCTCTAACATCCACCAGCTTCGTGATGTCGTCATGGAGGAGTGGAAGAGGACTTCTGTGGCAATCTGTGAAGCTCTGGAGAACTCTATGCCCAAAAGGGTTAAGGCAGTGCTGGAAAATAATGGTGGCCACACAAAATATTGACACTTTGGGCCCAATTTGGACATTGTCACTTAGGGGTGTACTCACTTTTGTTGCCAGCGGTTTAGACATTAATGTAATTTCTTCAGTGTTGTCACATAAAAAGATATAATTAAATATTTACAAAAATGTGAGGGGTGGACTCACTTCTGGGAGATACTGTAAATACCTGAAATAAATAAATTAGAAGACCAGTTGCCGCCATCTAGAGTCCATTTATGGAAATTCAGTTTTATAGGTCCTGGTGTCCAGGTGAGTGGCCATCCTTACATGTGGTGGTGGTCGGGTGAAGCACAGAATTAACTGTTTTGGATCACTTACACATATATGAATATAAACATTTTCAAGGACACATTGATTATTTGATTATTTACTATTAATGAATTCATGCACTTATTTGAGATGTTTTATTGAGTAGTACAACATGTTATCATTGTATCACATTTGTGGGGGTGTAGGATCACTTATCAGTGGATTCAGCAGCTATAATTATTATTTATTCATAGTTTATTATTTAATTTGATTTACTTGATCTTTTTAGCACACATTGTCACTGTTTACAAATTCCCACCAATAAAACCACCTTTTCAAAAGGCTTCCTCTGCTCCTTTGATGGTAGACGCGAGTTCCTCCATGAGTTTGGTTTCCTGTATTTTTGCAAATCATTGTGCCATGGACAAGAGACCTGCTAATATCAGAGAGCAGGGATGCGTGATCATTTATTAACCTCCTTAGCGGTTTTCCCGAGTCTAGCTTGGGGTAAAATTTCAGTACCAAGAGCGGTAACCCCGAGCTACACCCGGGCTTACCATGTGGTGTTGCTCAGGGGGTCCCTGCAGCACTTACCTTGTCCTTCGCTCCCGTGATGTGTCCCCTGCAGCGTCCCCGGCCATCTCCTCCGGCCAATGCCAGCATCCGGCTTCCGTGTTCCGGTCCCTGTGACGTCGGGACGTACGGGCGCCGGAACCGGCGGGAAATTTGAAATTTTTAAAAAATGTAATTTTTGCTGTCATTGCTGTTTCAATGCATTTCACATATATTTTGTCCCTACTGCTTTGTCCTGTGCCCTGCCTGCATTTTGACTGTTCTTTCTGCCTGGAAACTTAGAAAAGTCCATGGTGTCCAAAAAGCGTCCCTTTACGTCAAAAGCGGTTTTAGAACAGCGATAGTAAATCAGAACCACTTGCAGAATTGAGTGATAATGATTCGTGGGGGAAATTCGTCATCAGACACTGAAAACGATTTTGCGACTTTGCTCAGCGATGTGCTAATTTGCCTCTGTATTTCAAATTTCAGTGTTTTTGGTTTGATTATATTATTGAATTAAATTTATTATTATTATTTTTTATGATTATTGATTTCGTGTTTCAAGTTTTATCATACCCGGGATGTTTACTAGACTCTTGTTCGTACAGATTTCAGTGAGTTATTCCTAAAAATTACAGCCTACAATAAAAAACTACATATTTCCATGCAAAAAAATGGTAC